ATCCTCATACTAAGCAAGCATGCAGCGACAGTGGAGAGGAAAACTCCCTTTTAACAGGAAGAAACCTTCAGAGGATCCTGGCTCAGTATAAGCAGCCATCGCCACGTCTTACTGGGGATCGAGAAGACAGAGCAGACACACACACATACACACCAAGTTATGTTTCTATGGTTGCATTGTGATTTCTTAGTAAATATTCTATTTGGTGAGAGATAAACTTTATTGTATTATCCTAGTGAATCTATAATTAAACAGGTAAACTAGTAGCAGTAGCACATTCAATGTCAAGGAAAGTAAAGTGTTGTTATCAGGAGAGGGAGAAGGATTAAATGGTTAGCAACAGTGTTCAAGCCAATGGCCCCCTCCATGAGGCCACCACAGCTCAGCAGATCATCATTGTAGCTTCTTCTGGGGAGAAAAACACTTAGAGAGAAAATAAAGTTAACAGCTGAAATTGCACAAAATAGTACAGTTAAAGAGCAGACTGTAGAAGAAAACAGTAGAGTGTGAAAAGGGTTCAGTGTATCCTCCAGCAGTCTAAGCCTATAGCAGCATAACTACAGAGATAACTCTGGATAATCTATCCTATTTAGATGTAGGCATGTTGGAGGCAGGGCAAGGGAGAGCCGTCTTTACCGACTGTACACTCCACCTCCCTGTACTCCCCCACTTGTACAGATTTAGGCTAACATCAGATTTTAACCATAGGCCCTATCAAATAAAAATGTTTTAAGCCTATTCTTAAAAGTAGACAAGGTGTCTACCTCACGGACTAAAACTGGGAGTTGGTTCCACAAGAGATGAGCCTGATAACTAAAAGATCTGCCTCCCATCCTATTTTTTAGATATTCTGGGAACCTGCAGTCTGAGAGCAAAGTGCTCAGTTAGGAACATATGGAACAATCAGGTCACTGATGTATGATGGAGATTGATTGCTAAGAGCTTTATATGTGAGAAGGAGGATCTTAAAATCTATTCTGAATTTAACAGGCAGCCAATGTAGGGAAGCTAAGACAGGAAAGATGTGATTTCTCTTTTTAATTCTCATCAGAACTCTAGCTGCAGCATTTTGGATAAGCTGAAGACTTTTACCTACATTCTGCGGACTTCCTGAGAGTAATGAATTACAGTAATCCAGTATTGATGCAATAAATGCATGAACTAGTTTTTCAGCATCACTCCTGGAAAGGATGCATCTAATCTTAGCAATATTCCGAAGGTTGAAAAAGGAAATCCTACAAACCTGTTTAACGTGGGATTTGAATGACATGTCCTGGTCAAAGATAACACCAAGGTTCCTTACTTTGTCCTCAGAGACTAATTTAATGCCATTCAAGTCAGGTGATTGACTAAGCAATTTCTTTTTCTGAATTTCAGGTCCAAAGATGAGAACTTCAGTCTTGTCTTGATTTAAAAGTAAAAAGTTTTGAGTGATCCAATTTTTTATGTCTTCAAGACAAGCCTGTAATCTAACTAACCGATTAGGTTCATCAGGGTTAATGGATAGATATAACTGAGTATCATCAGCATAACAGTGGAAGTTTATCCCATGCTGTCTAATGATTTTACCAATTTGGAGCATAAGTATAGTAAAAAGAATTGGTCCAAGCACTGAACCCTGTGGTACTCCACAAGTAACCCTGGAGTATGGAGAAGATTTGTCATGTACGTTTACAAAATGATATCTATTAGACAGGTAGGATTTAAACCAGCCTAGTGCTGTTCCTTTGACCCCTACAACATGTTCAAGCCTTTCTAAAAGAACATTGTGATCTACTGTGTCAAAGGCAGCACTGAGATCTAACAAGACTAGAACAGACACAAGATTCTTATCTGAGGCCATGAGAATATCATTTGTAACTCTCACTAACACAGTTTCAGTGCTGTGATACTCTCTAAAACCAGACTGAAATTCCTGAAACAGAGCATTAGTGTTTAAATGCTCACATACTTGGATGGCCACTATTTTCTCAAGGACTTTGGATAAAAATGGAAGGTTAGATATTGGTCTATAATTCATTGGGTCATCTGGATCCAGAGAAGGCTTCTTAAGTAAAGGTTCGATTACAGCAACCTTAAAATCCAGTGGTACGTATCCATTTACTAAGGATAGATTGATTATATCTAGAATGGGGGCAGTAACCAAAGGAAATGCTTCTTTAAATAATTTGGTTGGGATTGGATCTAAAATGCAAGTTGAAGGTTTAGATGAAGCTAATATTTTTGATAACTCTGAAAGCTCAACTGGATCAAAACGGTTCAAACGCAGATGAGGTTCTACAGTTACCTCTGATGCTGCCTCACTTACTGAGGAAGAAGAAATCGCATTAGGGAGGATGCTAATGATTTTGTTTCTAATAGAATTAATTTTACTTGTGAAAAATCTCACAAAGTCATTGCTGCTGAGGGCTAAGGGAATAGATGGTTCAGAGCTATGATTCTGTATAAGTTTGGCAACTGTACTGAAAAGAAATTTAGGATTATTCTCATTCTCTTCAATTAGCGATGAAAAATAAGCAGTTCTAGCTTGTTGAAGCTTATTTTTATAAAGCACAAGACTATTTTTCCAGGATAAGTAGGACTCCTCCTGGTGTGTAGAGCGCCATGTTCTCTAAAATTTTCTAGAGTTTTGTTTTAAAGTTCGTAAATGAGAATTACCGGTAAACCAGGGAGCCAACTTCCTGTCCCTAATTACCTTCTTTTTTTTAAGGGGCAACATCATCTAATGCCACACATAAAGAGGAAGTAACATTATGAACTAAACATCAATTTGTGAAGGGCTAGAAATAAAATTATTGCCCTCTGATATGTTCCTCTGAGATGCTGAAGATGGTAAAGATGAAACAGTTGATTTAAAAGATGCAACAGCGTTGTCAGATAGAGACCTACTATGGTGAAATTTACTTTCATGTCTCGAGAACTCAGTTATAAAAAACTCAAAGGTTATCAAAAAGTGGTCCGAGAGGACTGGATTATGTGGAAATATTATTTCCTCACACTCTATGCCATAAGTCAGCACAAGGTCTAATGTATGATGGCAGGAGTGGGTGGAGCTATGTATTCTTTGGGTAAAACCAATTGAGTCTAAGATATTACTAAAGGCTACATTGAGGCTATCATTTTCAATGTCCACATGAATGTTAAAATCCCCCACTATAATGACCTTATCAGTATTTAGCACCAAATCAGATAAAAATCAGAGATCTGATCCAAAAACTCAGAGTACGGGCATGGTGGATGATACAAAACAACAAACAAGAGTGGTTTTACAGTTTTGCTATCTGGATTAGGAAAACTAAGAATAATATGTTCAAAAGAACCGTAACTATTAATTGGTAAGGGATTGATTAATAGGTCTGAATGAAAAATGGTTGCTACTCCTCCTCCTCACCCTGTACTTTGAGCAATATGATGATTTAAATAATTTGAAGGAGTCGACTCATTTAAGCTAACATAGTCCTCTTGCTGCAGCCAGGATTCTGTGAGAGAGAGCAAAGAAATCTGATTATCACAAATCAAGTCATTAACTAACAAAGTCTTAGAAAAAATTGGTCTAATGTTCAATAACCCACATTTAATTTTTCTAGTTTTCTGCTCAGTTGAATTTGTTCTAATATTTATGAGATTTCCATGATTTGCTTTATTAAGTCTGATATTTAATCTGTGTAATTTTGGCCGTGGGCAGGACACTGTCTCTATGGGGAAGTGGGTGGGTAACAGTACAGAAGCTGCAGAGGGATGTGTTAAACTACGACTCTGCTTCCTGGTCTGGACCCTGGGTTGTCATGAAGGACTAATAAAACTGGCCATGTTCCTAGAAAGAAGAGCTGCTCCATCCAAAGAGGGATGGATGCCGTCTCTTCGCATCAGACCAGGTTTTTCCCAAAAATTTTTCCACTTATCAATGTAGCCCATGCTGTTTTCAGGACACCACCTAGACAACCAGCGGTTGAAGGACAGCATGCAGGTTGTTCTTCAACGGTGTATGGCAGACTGCCCTGTTGACTGACACCCGTAGCGCTAAATACATCACGTTGCGTGTTGCTCCGATTGGTCCTAGTGCTGTTCAATTACATGCAGAGATGGTTCAAAAGACAACCATAGGCTGCACCCTATGACTTGGATGTTTCAATGAGTTGTGGCCAGACTACATAATGCCCCTTCCACACTAGCATTGACTCCACACCGCCCGGATAGCCCCAGTCAGCCCCAGTTGATTCCACACATCCTTGCTTAGGAATGCAAGGAATTCAGCCAGAGAAGTTCTCAGGTCCTAGGTAATGAGCATGACAATGCTGTATGACCAGGTGGGCTGATTCTACCCACCAACCAGAAGCTTTCCCTAATGGAAGGTGTGAATTTGAACCTGTTTATCAGTCAGCAGTGGGGGTGTTGGCCCTGGTCAGCCTGAAGCAGACCACCTCAGGACAAGGGATGAGAAACAGTCCAGTTGCGCCCAGAATAAAAGCAGGCTATGCTAATGTTGGAACTCTGCTATCCAGACCATGCAGAGCCGATGCTAGTGTGAAAGGGGCTTTATAAAGACGGCTTGCCAGGCTACTTCCTTGCGGGACATGCCCAGAAAGCAACCAGGAAGGAGTCTAGTCATTTGCATGAACCACCCCAGCTGCTTCTCCAAGCTCCGTCCCTTCAGAAGAGCTTCATTTCAAATACCTTTATTTTTAATAACATTCTAATATATTTACTGATGAGAAAATGATGATGGTGGAAAAGGTTATAAAACATAGCACAGCTGTTTGGTTTGTACAGAAATGTAGCCACATGCAGCACTGTGTCTATGATGTCTATATGTTTCTGTTGGTCACATTAGTGACAGAGATGCCACCAGGCTGTTGGGTCATCATGCTACGGGCTACTGACCTGCTGAGTCGGACTGAATCATGAGTGGCTGTCATCCTCTGGTTTTTGTCATGTTATTGTTGAATTTTAGACCTAAAGAACAGAGTAAATGTTGATTTTTTTCCCCCCTTCATTTATAGGCCTTCCAAGTCCTTAAATATACTGCACCACCTACTGAAAAAGTTAACCAGGTAAGTTGTTTTTATTATCTTTAGTTTGATTAATTACATTTCATCAGCCCTGCCCTAAAAGACAAGTGCAGATGATGTCAGCACATATTTCCTAATGCATAGTTTGCTCATTCATTTATTCATTCATTCATTCATTCATTCATTCATTCATTCATTCATTCAGTTCTTCAGCCTGAGGAAAAATCTGACATGACTCCTAATCTTTGTGCTGGAGTTACACAATCAGTTGCTCAACACATAATAGACACATGATGTTCTGCTTTCTTTAGGCGCTGCTCACCTTCATTCCTGTCGTCACTCGTGCAAAAAACAAAAAGTGTTGCAACATGCTAATTTAATAAAGCCTTGATTTGCTTTCACAGGTTAGATGAGGGACAGTACCTGATCACGCACAAACATGGGGAACCATTTGTGACCATTCTAAAGGCAGCTGATGTAAAAGCGAGTCGGGGGACCTTCAACCTGCACCAGAGCTACAGCTCTGCTCCACTACCCCCCAGATCGGGGCTCGTGCCTTGGATACCCGTCGACCCGGCCGTGGTCCTCCCTTTTCACCAGAAGCACGGCCGGGTGCCCTGCACATTCCCACCAAAGAATTTCACCAAGGTATTTGATTTGGTTACCATGGTTACGGCATTCATATACATACCGACGTGCATAGATCTACCAGCAGATGATGACATAGAAGTACTGGCAAGAACATTGGAACAAAAGCTTGTTTAGTGTCTGGGAAGTCCACGCCCCGTTTAAACACACACACACACCCTCACTCTGAAGTCCTGCAGTAATCATGATAAATGAGAAACTACTGAGTAATCAATGCAAAGTTTCTGACTTATCAGTCGGCGACTTGAGCGTAACATTATCTGCTGTAAATTATTAGTGTAGATTTTAGAGATGGGATCAAACATTTGTTCTTTCAAGCAGGAGAAAACCTGTCAATAGTCATCTTTGATCTTTTTAAAATAACGGTCTTTCCCCTCTTGACAGGCAGCCAAAGTGGGAGCCAATAATCCTGGAGCTGGACTGAACAACAACTCAAATGCACAAGGCAAGAAGAAGAAGAAAGGCAAACAATCAAAACGTTCAGCTAAACGTAACAAATACATCAAAAACCTGATTCAGAAATGTGTTTGAGATGTCTAATCGAAGGATTTAGTTTCATGCCATTTATATTTCATTGTTTAGGTTAGAACAGCTGGACCTGTGAACCTGCACTTTTACAGTATAAAATGTGTTTTTTTCTATATATTTTCTTGTGAGTTTTGCTATGTTTTGGGTGAAAAAAAATAAAATTTCAGTGAAACAAACACGGATGTAATGGAATTGTACAGACTCAAGATCACACGCCTTCTTCTGAAAGTCTCTAGCAGGCTAAAGAATGTTGTGAATCACTTAGAGAGTGTGTGTGAGAAACTCCCAGTTGGCTTTCGGAGTGAGATGCCTGGCTCGAAGGCTCAAACCCGCAGAGGAACAGGGTGGAGTCACGGGTAGGGGAGGGGGAGCCGAGTCATGGGTGGTGAAGGCATCAGTCTGATTTCTGGTGACTAAAGTTCAGCCTTCACACCCTTTTCACTTCAACATCACTGAGATCATTTCCACAGCTAAGGTACGTTTTACTCCTTGTGATTATTTTTGCAAAATGTAAAACTAAAAAAGTTTGATACATTTCCTGTCTTGTAATGAGTCATAACTCATGACTTGTGTTTATAGGTAACTTTATTGACTTTGTGCAAATCAGTGAAGCCTTTTTCTTTAGCTTTAGCCTGTTTATCCCAGATTCCTAAAGCAGCCTTGTTGCTAGCATGTACGTGTTTTCAGGATCCAAGCCAGACTAGGGTGTGGTCACGTTAGTGTGTCTATAATAAAAGAGTCACTCCCAGCATGGATTAGGGGGACGTGTTATTACCAAAAAACCAAGGTACTGCATCCACAACAGGAAGATTATTGACAAAAGTCGGCTGTAGTCACAGATTTAGACCCACATGAGCTACTTAGGATGCCTCTGTTGAGAAAACAGTGTTAAATGTTTTATTCTTCAGTCTGAACAACCATTAAAGACAGGTTTATCTTTCAGAACCGTTGAAGATGGCTTTGGTGTCAGAGTTTCTGGGACAGTTGTCTCTCAACGTCGGGGTAACGTCATCCGTTTTGTCTTTTGATGAAAACTACACACTGCTCACAAATGAGTCATTTAATCTCTAATTTGCTTTGAATTGCAGTCCAGTGAGCCCAAATTCCCCACTGTGGTGCCAGCAGTGGACTTTGACCCAGACAGAGATGCTGCCAGAATAGAGACGGCTATCAAAACCAAAGGCAAGAGACACTCTGGAGTTTTTGTCCCCCTCCTCCCCCAACAGATTCATAGCTGGTGTCTAAGTCAGTGTCCATATCTGTCCCTCGCTGTGTCTGAGTCACTGTTCGTCAAACAGAAAACATTTTCTTAAACATGTCAGATTTCTTTCTAAAACGTGTCTTCTCATCTCAGGAGTGGACGAGCAGACCATCATCGACGTCCTAACTAAGAGGACGTACCATCAAAGGAGAGAAATTGCTTTTGCATATGAAAAGAGGACAAAGAAGGTACAGAAATGTTATGATTTAAAATGTTTTCCATAGAATATCAGTCCAGTGATGCTGTTCTATTCGTAGGACATGATCTCGGCTCTGAAGGGAGCGTTGTCTGGCTCGCTGGAAACGGTGATCCTTGGACTGATGAAGAGCACCGCTCAGTTTGACGCCTCAGAGATCAGAGGATCGATCAAGGTGAAGAGCCAGGATGTGGTCTGGTCGAAGAGGAACACTCCCCTCTAGTGGAAGAGCTGTGTGACATGCTGTTTTAGGGGAGAGCTCTTAGATTTCTGTCTCTTTCAGGGTTTAGGAACAGATGAAGAAACATTGATAGAAATTTTGTGCTCGCGCAGCAACGATGAGCTGGTGGAAATCAAACAAGTCTACAAAGAATGTGAGTTTGAAATGTCACTTTTATGTAAAGGGTTAGAGATGCTCTAGAATAACCAGAGACACACGTTTATTTGTTCTTCAGTGTTTAAGAAAGACCTGGGGAAAGACGTGGCTGGAGACACCTCTGGGAACTTTGCTAAGCTGCTCTTGGCCCTTGTGGAGGTGGAGTTTAATTGTCATTAACTGCTTTTTCCCAAGGAAAAAACAAACTAATAAAACTGCTGATGAAACCACAAATCCTGTTTAATTTTTGCACAGACCAAAAGAGCCGAACCATCTCCTGTGGTGGACTATGAGAAGATTGATTTAGACGCCAGAGTAAGTCACTCTTCTCACTTTCTCTTCAATAATAATTTGATTAATTCCTTGTTTGTTTTTGACCCCAGAAAACTTGCTAATTTCTCTAAGTTTAGAAATGATACCAGTTCATCCTTTGGTTGTCCTCAGGCTCTTTATGATGCTGGAGTGAAGATCAAAGGCACCGATGTGAACACCTGGATCTCCATCATGTCTGAGAGGAGCGTCCCCCACCTGCAAAAAGGTTCTGCTTCCTGTCTTCTAAAAACCTATTGGGATGAATGATGATTCTAAAACAAACAAGGTAATGTTGATCATTTATTGGTTTTCCTTTTAGTTTTTGATAGATACAAGAAGTACAGCCCGTACGGCATGGAGGAGAGTATTGTGAAGGAGGTTAATGGAGATTTACAAAAGTCCTTCCTGGTTCTAGGTGAGCTTCCGTCTTTATTAGCATCACACAAGAGAACACATGAGATGATTTATTCAGCTTTTTTCTGCTTCCAGTTCAATGCTTTGAAAACAAACAGCTGTACTTTGCCAAAAAACTGAATGAGGCCATGAAGGTACTTAAACGGCTTTTTCTTCCTCTCTCTTGTTAAAGTTTGTCTTTTTAAAGGCTTTTTTAAGCAAAGTACGTCGACTTAAGAAAGTAGGAATTTGCTGCAGGAAAAAAAGAGGAATTCAAAGTTGACAAAAGTTATGTTACAAGAGTCTTGCATCATGCTGCAGTTAGGAGAAAAGAGCGTGCACAACTTAAGTGCTGACTTGTTCTCGTCTGTTCAGGGTAAAGGAGCCAAGGAGAAGGTTCTGACCAGAATTATCGTGTCACGGTGCGAGGTGGACCTGAAGAAGATCGCCTTTGAGTACAAGCGAGAATTTGGGCAGTCCCTGCAGCAGACGATCACAGTAAGCAGCCTGTTTCTGTTTGACAGAACATGTTTTATCATGCAGCCTGATTTACCTGCATCATTCATTTCTGCAGGAACATACCAAGGGAGACTACCAGAAAGCACTGCTTAGCCTGTGTGGACCTGAGTAGTAAGACGGATGTCATTCTCCTAAAGAACTGCTTATAAATCCTTGGAAACTTTTACTGGAAGCATGGGCCTCATGTGGGAATCATGTGGGAACAAATAACTCTGTTTGCACAAAAGTAGAATTACAACATGGAAGAAAGTTTTCCACAGAGGAACTTGTGTTATATTCTGTGTTTTTTCAGACCAAAACATTAAAAGTGTTGCTCTGATTCTCTGTTTGGTTTTTTTGATTGTTTGTTTGTTTGTTTTTGCATGGTCTTGGCTGCTATTGTAAGTTTAGCCACCAGAGGGCGATATAGCTGCATAAATAAAAACCTCAAACCATCTGATAGAATAAATATTCACCAAATGTTACTCAAAATAAAGTATTTGGTATTTAATAACACATTTTCTTTTTATAACTTACGCTCTTCTAAATAATAACAGACTGTAAATTAAAATCATAATTAATAAAAAGCTGTTATCATACTTGTTTTCTTCTGCATACTTAAGGAAATGTTGACACGCAATATCCATCCATCCATTTTCTGAACCCGCTTGTCCAAGTAGGGTTGCGGGGAGTGGGGGGGTGGGGGGGGCACTGGTGCCTTTCTCCGATGGTCAATGGGCAATCAGGCGGGGTACACCCTGGACAGAGTGCCGAGACACACAGGACAAACAATCATGCACACATGCACACACACACTCACACCTAAGGACAATTGAGACAGACTAATCAACCTAACAGTCATGTTTTTGGGCTGTGGGAGGAAGCCGGAGTACACGGAGAGAACCCACGCATGCACAGGGAGAACATGCTAACTCCATGCAGAAAGATCCCAGGCCGGGAAGCGAACCCAGGACCCTCTCGCTGCAAGGCAACACCTCTAACCATTGCGCAGACCTGACACGCAATAATTAAAAAGAATTTATTTGGTTGGTGTCTATTTCAACATTCGACTGCAGATGTAAAAATTAATGAAAGCAGGAAATCCTGAAAGACAAACAAAGATGGGAGTATCGGCCTCTTTCGCCACGATGCATCTCTGTGAAGATGATTTAATCATTAGTGTGTTTTTCCATGTTTGTTTGGTGCTAATATTTTAATTAAAAATGTTAATTTTACCTCCGGCAAAGATGATTTGCATACCACTAAACAAGCGTCTATACAACGTGTTTCTGCTGTTTAGTTTGTGGTCTCTCAGGATAAAATAACCACAGTGTTGTCAAGGCATTTCCACTGAAGTGTAGAAAAAAGCCCCAAATGGGAGAATCAGAACTGCTGATCACAGTGATGAGGAAAGGATGGAAGGAAAAGTGCAATCATTTATTGGAGGATAGAAGATTGTGTATCATTGTGAGAGAAGCTGCCTGTTTTTTTAAGTGATTTAGTAGCTAAAAAGTGAACAAAATGGCTCAAAATTTTAACAAGACGTTGGATTTATGATCGTTTTGTGATAATATTGATGAGAACATTAGCCTTCAGTGATGGCTTGTGTTTATAGGCCATAAAAACATAAAATATGGTGTAAAGTAAGATAAAACAGTATTTTGTGAAGCAAGGAGAAGGAGATTTATGCACGGGTGTTGTGACAGATTAATCTCTGCATCATAAAGAGAAAAGTACCTCCATATTTCCCTCCCCTCTTTTTTATATGGATGTACAACATGCTGTTCTGCTCAAGGCCGGCCCGTAGGGACCTCCGGCAAACCCAAGGGGAACTCTCTCCTCAATTGAAACGATGCAATTTACTGTCCCAAACAGAGGCACTTCATCATTCAGAGGACTTTAACCCCATGAATGTCAAGCACGGCGCACGCTGAGGAGGGGACAGACTGCCTCGCGTTACAACAGCTGCCACAGACGCACGAGAAGTCTAACAATCTGAACCATAATCACCTAAAGCATCCGCATTTGAGAAAATATTGTTATAGTTTGACGAACTGAGTTTCTATTCAGGACTTGGCACACCTTCCCATCTGCCTGGATGTATTTGAAGATTTGTTTAAAGGTCAGATGAATCTTTTTCTCTCCTTTTCTCCCAGTTAACGTGAATTCCACCTCAGAGGAAAAACACCCAGGCTGCGCTATAGGCTTGCAGCGGCATTAAACTTTCACCGTACAGCTGTAGAGCTGCTGTTGCCCCGCCAGCCATACCAACTGCACACTGGGAAGGTATTCGTTTGTGCTTTTTATTAATTAATTGCACTGATCAGAACTTGCAACGCAGAGAAGCAGCAGCTCCGTAACATTTCCTCTCACCACATTCTCTCCTTGACACATCTGAACCCAGTTTGGTTCCTTTTCTTTGTGCGCGCCACCAAAGGGTGTTTAATTATAGACTAGAAGGCCACCAGGGTCTGCTTTTAATTGTGTGCATCTTTGTTTTATGTGTGTGTGTATGTGTGTGTTTGCCTGCAGCTCTATAGGTCACAGGCACGTTCTAAATGAGAACTCCTACAGGCGAAGCTCGAAGATCCGCTCCCTCAACGCATCCACAGAGCCGAGAGAGAGAGGGAGACAGAATTCGATTAATATTTTCTTAATTATCATTATTTAATTCAGCAAATTCGCAGCTTCTTTGGTGAAAGTGTGGCCTTTTGTCTCTGCCATGCAGAGCACCCCGGCTCATTAAGGGGCACAGAGAGATCCTGTGTATGGTAAATAAGAGGCTGTGTCATATGCTGCTGCCCCAGGGAAAGTTGGCACCACACTGAAGGACATCTCCTTCTGAAGATCGGCGCTCTGGTGGTGTTTCCCTGCTCAGACGCCAGAGGCGGAGGATCTGGCTCTGGCGTCGTCAGGCCCGCTTCCTTTCAAGAGGCGCAAACAGACAACGGTGCAAGGCGGATGAGCAGCCTGCACTCATCACACCATCAGTCTGTCTCCTTTGTACAGTCAGACGTGTGATTGAAACAGCATGAGAGAGAGGAACAAGGCCTGTCTCCTCTTGGGTTTTCACAAGCAGTCAGTCCACAGACGCAGAAATAAGAATAAAGAAGGAGAAGTTTATAAAAGAGCTTTGTGTACAAGCAGATGCCTTTGAAGAGTTTGGCTTATGTCATCTTGAAACGTGGAAAGGAGATTCTTCAGCGAGGTTAATGCTTCTGTCTGTTTAATGCACTAAATGAGACTAAATATTATTAATTGTGCATTAAACCAATGGTGGTCCCTACTTGGCCCAATTCATAAAGACCCTGCCTGGAGACATAACCAGACTTCATCAGATCAGCAGTGTTTGATGCACAGAGCCGGACGAGATGCTGAGTTTTCTCTTCGCTTCGAGCTTTCCCCCCTTTTCTTTCTTGCTTCGTGATGAAAAGGCTGCTCAGCCTAAATGCTACATATCGTTTCCCCTCCATGCATGCATCTCCATCTCCTTCGCGTGGCCCATTGAGACGTCCCTCATCCCCTCGTGCCTATTGTGCCACTTCTCAGCCTGCAACACTAAAGCAGAGATCACTGTGATCTGTTTTATACGACTGTAATCTCGTCCACGTGCAAATACTGCAGCAGATTCTCTGTGAAGAGGTTGTAATGATCTGATCCGTGGCATCATCATCTCCAGCAGTGTTTGCTCACGGCCGCCGGATCAGAGTTTGTGTGCAGCGACACGCCGATCGTATGACAAGATCCGCTGCAAGGGAAGACGGTCTTTATCAGCGCAGCGTATTAATGTTTATTTACACCATGGCTAATAAGATGTGTGCTCTGCAGCTCGGTGAGACAGAATGATGGCGGGTAATTAAGCTGCTTTGCTTTAGATTCATCCATTGTCCATACTCGAGCCTGCATACATAATGTAATAATGTAAAATAAGGCCAGTTTGCAGAAGTAGATGAGGTGACCAGTCTGAGGTGTTGGGTGTAAATCAGCGCCAGGGTGTCAACACGCACGGCGATCAGGGTGATAAATTTGAGACTTGTCAAACAGCCATTCAGTGGCGAGTGAGCTATGACCCTTTACATAACACACTCCTACAGGAAGACAAACACACTGACAAGACTAATTTGTGTTTCAGTGTTTAGCTTTCACCTCCTGCTGGAGGTTTGGGGAGCGACTCTCTAATCCTTATTGTGGTGAAGCTTAATCCCATCCACTCCAGGCACGGCCTGTCTTCGATATCCTCGTCAGACTGGCCACTGGACCCCTGCACACACACACACACACACACACACACACACACACACACTGCCCCACCTTCATGCAAGAGATTGAAATCAGCCTGGCAGACACTCAAGCATGAACCAAATGTCAGCGACAAGCCACAGGGACAGAAGAGGAGCCCATGTTAATTATGACAGAGAAGAATCGCACCATTTCACCTGCGAGACATGCCATCCGGGATATGTGTGGATCATGAAGTCATTTTCTCTTTTTCCCTACGGGAGGCCAAAGAAGACACAATTTCAATGAGTATAAAAGCAGTGATTAACTCTGCAATGGGTGTCTTTCTTTCTTTTTTTTTCGCAATTTTTTTCTTATGAAATAATCAGATTTTATTGTGCGTGTCCTGGAGTGATTTCATAATGATATACAGAAATGGGAGTAAATCCACTGAAGGATAAGTAAGTCTGAGAAACCTGCCTTTCTTTTGTTCTTCGGCTCAATGTCAGAGAATTACAGATATTGTTTGAAGCCTGGCGGTGAAGCTTTTTTCCCCCATCTGATGGGAGAAATGCAAAGTTTTGGAAAGGTGTCTACAAATTTCTTCCCTCTTCCCACCTGCTCCCTCGTTTGACTTTGAATGTGCAGAGAAAAGAAGAAGAAGCTGCCTCCTTTTTCTTTTTCTGACAACACGCTTCCCCATGTGACACTTCACCTTTTGAGATTTCCCATTCTCTCTGATCATTCCCTGTTTGGTTCATGTTAATTAACCCTGGGGCACAGCACAGAGTTGCAGGCTTTGAAGCAGAAGAAAAACAGCAAGAATGTTGTATTTTTCTTTCCATTTCTGCATATTTAATTCTGTTTCCTGGTGAGAGTCCGCGGTGGTACTGAGCACTTTGGTTGGAATACGGTTTGTGTTCCTGTCACCAGTTGCTCTTCTTCCTCTTGTCAGGAACTTGGCCTGAGAAACCTGACCTCCCTCAGGTGGCCATGGAAATGGAAATCAGATCAAAAAATAGAACACAAGATGGTTTTCATAGCCTTCAGCTTCCCCGCATAAAAAAGAAGAAGATTTTTTTTTGTCTGCTTCTTTTTATCCTTTTTGGCTCCTGGCATGAA